GAGAATCATTATACTCTCTGTTAATATTTATCCTTGAACAGTTTGGTTAAAAATCCCCAAATTTCAACAGTTTTTTTTTTTTATTTAGAGAAAAGATGATTCTGAAATTTATATGGAGCTATAGAGGGCCAAGAAGAGGCAGGTTATTCTTGAAGGCGAACAAAGTGGGAGAAGGTGCTACTCCAGAAATGGGGCTTTTTATAGAGTGAGGATCATTTCTAAAAAGTAGGGTGGAGGAGGGACTAATGATCAGACAGGCCTGGAAGTCCACTTTTGTGAGGACACGTGGGATCCAGCAGAGAGGCGCTGCGGGGTGGGGGCAATCTTTTAAGAAAGGGCTGCTCTAGACGTTAAGTATGGGAGGCGAAACTATAAAACGTTTAAAGATGAAGCTTTGTGACTTCAGGGTCAAAAGATTTCTTAAAGAAGACACAGTGAGTACCCATCCTAAAGGGAGAGAGAAACAAATCAGACTGACGTACTTTAACATGTAAGACCTTAGATCGTAACATGATGCCCTTAAGTTGGGAAAAGAAAACCCACAGAGCAAGTGACACGCCTGCGTTTTGCTCTAAGTTTTAGGATCTGCCTGCCCCTGCCTGCAAAAACACTGAGTGGAGGAGAGAGACCAGGTGGGGATGGGGTGTGAGGAAACAGGCTGGAGCCTGCTTTCGAAAATCTGAAATAAAATCCAGAAGAATCAGCTCGAGGAGTTGCCAGTAGCTGCCTCTGGGGCTCACGTCGCGGCTGAGAGGAGCCAGCAGGGAACCGCTGGTTTCTGTAATGAGCCTTTCCTTAAGGAGAAAGCTGTCTTCCTCTCCTGAGAGCATCACATCCAACCAGACACATGAAAGGGCCACGTGGCACTGGGCAGTGGCGGCCGCCTGTCCCTCCCACCTTCCCACAACGGCAGCCACTTCCTCCCTCCCCACACAGAAAAGCAGGCACTGTGGCATTCGAGGAGAGCGCCTGGTTCTTACTAGGGCTGGCTCGGGACGGGGTAAAGAGGTGTAGGGGAGGTTGGAACAAGGACCACTTTGGAAAGGCACGTTTGGGGGCACCAGTGCGTATGCCATGGCAAGGTCAAAGTTACCCCACAATAGCCGGCTCTCCCTTCCTGGCTGTAGGCGCAGAGAGTGGCTGCCCATCTCTGGGAGTGCCACGTGCTGGCACAGCCTGGAGGCCATCCCTGGAGACCAGGGGCCCCAGGACGCAGGCAGAGGGAGCTGTCCCAGGTGCCCGGCCACACATGTGGCAAGACCACTGCGTCCCACCAAGATGCCTGGGGCTCCGGGTCCTGATGAGCAGGGCTGGGGTGCACACCTCTCAGAGCTCCATTCCCCCCAAATCACGGGACAGTCCCCACTCCAAAGGACAAGGATCATCGGGTGCAATCAGTTCCTTGCAGTCTCTGGACATTCTCTCAGCTGAACACTGTGTCTTTGAGAACACCGACTTCCCTGGCGCCTGGCATGGGGTGCCTGGGTCTCTGGAGCTATTAGGATGCAGCAGGTGCAGGTGCCACTGTTAGACCTCACCGACCCACAAAACCTGCAGCTCCTCTGCTCCATCCCAAGTGCAATGCTTCGGCAGAGACGGGCTACTCAGGGCTGCGGGGGCCATCACCCCCCAACCCGCCCCGGGGCCTCCTGGTCTCCCCTCTCTGGATCCAGTGAGTTCAACTGGAGAATTACCAGAGAATTCCCCGAGTCCCGCTGTGAGGACGTGTGGAACTCCTGCCGTGAAACACTGAGCCCTGCCTTGCGTCAGGTGTGACCCAGGACACTAGGAGGCGGCATCGGTGAACCCTGTGGTGGGGATGGGCGGTGCTGACTTGCAGGTTTCTTGCTCTGGTGCAAGTTACAAAAGGAAGTAGAACTGGTGCTTGCTGAGAAGGGGAGGTGGGAGTCTGGCCTGCCCCATGGGGCTGACATGCTCACACCTGAATGTGCATTTGGAGGGCATCTGAACCTTCTCAAGTGGTCTCATGAATTTGGGGTCCTCAAAACCAACAGGGATGGCATGAGGAGCCTGTGCTGAGAGTGCCTTGGGGGGGGTGAAGCCAGAGCCACCCAGGTGCTGCCCGTGTGCTCCTGAGTCCATGCCTGCACCCATGCCCACGCCCTCCCCGGCGCCCCCCGCCCACCCCTGCGCCCATGCCCACCCACGCCCGCCCACGTACCAGCCTGCGGATCTCCCGCTCGCACTCCTTCTTGATGCGGGTGATCTCCTCCTGGTGCAGGTGGTACACGCTGCGGATCTCCGCAGCCTTGATCTTGTCTGCCTGGATCACCAGCGTCAGCGCCTCCTCCACCTGCCTCTTGGCACCCTTGAGCTCAGAGATCTCCTGCTGCATCTTGACCTTCTCCACCTCGAAGCCCTTCTTGGCCTCCTCCTTGGCCTCAGACAGCAGCACGGTCTTGACCTTGTCGGGGCCTCCGTCTCTCAGGGCACTGAGCAGCGCCTGCAGCCGCTGATTCTCATTGTCCTTGATTTTGATGACCCTGAGCAGCTCAGCCTCGTGCTGCCGAAGCAGTGCCTCACGCACGGCCTGCAGCTCCTTCATCTTCTCCTCGTGCAGCTTCGTCTTCAGCTCGGTGAGCAAGACCGCAGTCTTGTGCTGCTCATGCTCGCGCACCTGCCTCAGCTCCTGGTTCTTCTCACGTTCCACTTTGCTGACCTGAAAGACAACAGCGAGACCGAGTGTGGCAGGAGCTCCCACCATGCACACGCTCATGACGGAATGTGCATGTGGAAGGGATCTCCCACCATGCACATGCTCACACCTGAACGTACATTTGGAGAGGATCTCCTGCCATGCACATGCTCACCCCTGAATGTGCATTTGGAGGGGATCTCCCGCCACGCACACGCTCACACCTGAACGTGCATTTGGAGAGGATCTCCTGCCACGCACATGCTCACACCTGAATGTGCATTTGGAGGGGATCTCCCGCCACGCACACGCTCACCCCTGAATGTGCATTTGGAGGGGATCTCCCGCCACGCACACGCTCACCC